AGTTTGGAGTCCTGGCCACGTTGTGACAGTACGGCTCCCGCGCCCGTCTCAGAGGCGTCCACCTCCACAACGAAAGGCCGTGTTAGGTCCGGGTGGAGGAGGATGGGCTCGCTTACAAAGCGGCGGACCAGCTCATGGAAGGCAGCAACGGCCTCCGGGGAGAGGCGGAAAGGGCGAGGCTGATTGGTTGTTTTCGTCAGGGAAGTTAATGGTGACGCCAGGGCGCTGAAGTTGCGGATAAACCGGCGGTAGAAGTTGCAGAACCCCAGGAAACTCTGCAACTGCTTCAGGGTCTTGGGTAGTGGCCACTGCGCGACCGCCTGAACCTTCTGTGGGTCCATGCGCAGGCCCTGGGAGGAGATGATGAATCCCAGAAACGAGGTGGACTCCTGGTGAAAAGCACACTTCTCCAGTTTACAGAATAAGTCGTGCTCCAGGAGGCGTGACAGAACGGCTCGAACATGCTGGGTGTGTTCCTCGGCCGTGCGGGAGTAGATGAGGATGTCGTCCAAATAAACAAAAACCCAACGACCCAGCATGTCACGGAGGACATCAGTGATGAAACGCTGGAAAACGGCAGGGCTGTTGCAGAGGCCGAAGGGCATGACCAGGTACTCATAATGTCCAGTGGGTGTAATGAAAGCGGTTTTCCACTCCTCTCCTTCCTTTATGCGGATGAGGTTGTATGCACTGCGGAGGTCCAGCTTGGTAAACAGTGTGGCTTGGGCAGTGGCGTCCAGAGCCGTGCTGATTAAGGGAAGAGGATGGCGGTCCCTGATGGTGATTTTATTCAACCCACGATAGTCTATACAGGGCCGGAGGTCACCTTCCTTCTTCTTCACAAAGAAGAACCCTGCCGCCCCAGGAGACGTGGAATGTCGGATAAACCCCTTCTGGAGAGCCTCATTGATGTAAGCGTCCATCGCCTGGGTCTCTGCCGGGGAGAGCGAGAACAGCCGACCCCGAGGCGGGGTGGTTCCGGGCTGAAGCCTGATCTCCAGATCGTAGGGGCGATGAGGAGGCAGCTTGGTGGTAGGCTCCTTTGCAAAGACCCGAGCCAGATCGTGGTATTGGGGTGGAAGGAGTGTTAAATCCACGTCCTTGGGTGGTGTCTCCCTAGGCTGTGATCCTGGAAGGAGTGTTAAATCCACATCCTTGGGTGGTGTCTCCCTAGGCTGTGATCCTGGAGACGGATGATGAAGGCGACAGTTAACACCCCATGCCATGACTTTACTGGTGGACCAGGAGATGTGAGGGTCGTGGAGGCGGAACCAGGAATGACCCAGAATGAGAGGAGTCGTAGGGGCGTGAATGACCAAGAAATGAAGGGTCTCTACGTGTTCTCCGATGGTCATCCGGAGGTTCTGGGTTCGGTACGTGATCGGATATGGCATGAGAGGGCGCCCGTCCACTGACGTGACGGGAACGGGATGATCGAGGAGGGTGAGTGGAATCTTGAGCCGGTTGACCAACCCCTGGTCGATAAAGCTTTCTGCAGCTCCGGTGTCGAGGAGGGCCACCAGGGGGACCGGTCCTTGGCTCAGCTGGAAGGAGACCGAGAGGGTGGTGTGATGAGGAGCTGCATGAGTGGAAACTCCGAGTGAGGCAGCTCCTACACCGACCCGGAGGGACCGTTTCCCGGGCGTATGGGGCATGTTGCACGGGGATGACCCAGAGCCCCACAATAGGCACATCGTCCCTCCTGAAAACGGCGCGCCCGTTCCTCGGGGGGCAAATGACCCAGTTGCATGGGTTCCTCCATGGGTTGGTTCTCCTGACGGCGGGGGAAAGTTCGGGATTGTACGGGAACCGCCCTCACTCCTGGTCTGGTGAGGAGGCAGCGGTCCAGCTGGAGAGCCAGGTCCACCGCCTGGTCCAGGGTGGTTGGAGCCTCGTGACCAATCATGCCCTCACAGATGCGGGGTGACAATCCCTCCAAGTACACAGCATTCACCGCGGCATCACCCCAGGTTAGACGGGCAGCGGTGGTCCGGAAGCGTGAGGTGAATTCGGCCACGGTCTGAGAGCCTTGTCGAAGCTGGAGCAGGCGTGTCTCATCTGCGACCTCGCTGCTGGGATGAACGAATGCCTTCTTCAGTTCTTTCACGAAGGCTTCATAGTCGTTGCAGACTGGGGACTTCTGATGGTACAGAGCAGCCGCCCATTCACCGGCTCGCCCAGTCAGCAGGGAGGTTAACAGAGCCACGCGAGAGCAGGAAGTCGGGTAGCGTGCCGGCTGACACTCAAAAGTCATTGACAGAACGGCCAACATGCTCTCCGGGGATCCTTTAATCCCATCCCATTTCTCTGGGAGACTTAGATACGGCTCCACCACGTTAGGAGTGGCAGATGACTGTCGTTGGAGGGCTGAGGAGAGTTGGACTACCAGTTCGGTGACGGAATCGAGTTTGGATGCGAGGCGATCAGTAACAGCACGCAGCTGATTGTTCTCCACACGGAGTTGGGCGTTGTCCGCCTCCAGGCGTTCTACTCGGCTGAGCAGCTGCGCTACCTCAGCTCGCAGCTGTGCGATCTCCGCTGGGTCTACTCGGGACTCAGTCATCCTGTCAGGTTCGATGGGCTGAGCTGGAGTGGTTATGAGACCCAGGCGCGGAGAGAATGGTGGATGGAGACTGATATGTGGCAGCGTGGGAAGTTCTCTTCCCGTATGGTTCGTAGAGTTAGTGTCTTAGGTCTTAGAATGGCTTGGCGTCTATCGTTAGATGATGACTGAGTGCCGGCTCTGCTGTGACAGGTCCTTAAATAGGCTCAGCGGGATGACGTCACCGGGAAGCGTCGGTGACAGGCATGCTGGGAACTGGAGTGCAGCGCCAGCCCGGCCCGCAGAGGAGGTTAAGAGGAGGAGTTCATGACAGATAGACGTTTCTGATTGCAACCATAGTTTTCAGGTCCTGTAAGAAAAGCAGCACTCTGAGGACATCACGGTCCAACGCTGTTAAGCAAAACTCTTAAACCAAATAATGTATTATCACGTTGCTCAGTTTTATCTATAAGTTGTCAGAACTGAAGCTTGATAAAAAGTATTACTATTAATTTGACTTTAAGAGTTGTTTTGGTGGTCTTACCTTCAACAGTTGGAGCTGAAGGAATCTCATCTTAGAGCAAGGTGCCGAACTCAACCAACTGATGTGTGCAGGTATTTCCCTGACTCATTTGAATGGTTCTGCTTAAAAAGTGAGATTAGAACCTGCTGGCTTTTGTAGCAATAAAACTGCTAAACTGGAAACACCTGAGACTAACAAAACTCGTTTTAATCTCATGCATAGCAGCTTAATTGTATTTTTTAACCTTACCTCATTCAAATATGCTTTAAAGGTCTTCTAATTTATAATCAACATTTAGACATAAGCTAACATAAATTTATGTTGTAATAATCTTTCTTCATTTCTTAAGTATGTGGATGATTTGAATTTACTTCTAAGACAAATCTGTTGTAAACATGAGAAAAATCTCCTACATCATTCTTTATAGCTGTTTAACCTTTGTTTTGAGATGGTCAACCATTTTTGGAGTTATGGGTATTACTGCGTGATATTTGCATGCATTTTTCTATCTGACTGGAAAAAACAAACGAGAACGTGATGGATAATGGCAAAGGAAATTATGTAAATGTGTACTTTATTGCAGGTTGATTTGAGTAAGAAAACGTTAGGAACATTTTTTTCTCCTAGCAAATGCGTATTTACTCATTCGTTACAACATAATGGGAAGGAACCAACCATGTTCAAGTCTGTAGTGAAAGGAACTGCAGTTCCCCCCTCTTCCACTAGGGGCAGGATCCAAAAAGAAGCACGTTAAAGAGCAGGTCAAGTGTGCCTCGGAGTCCTTCTCCACCATAGACTGTGGTTAAAACACAGACAATTAAAAATGTAACTCCCAAAACAAAAAATAACATCTCCAATTACACACAGACATTACCTGATGAGCTTGTGATTGGTGTCAATGTGCACCATATACTTTGGGCAAGGAACTGTGTACGTCCTTCTCACTACACATCCCAGATGTGTCATTCGAGCAAGTACACCCGCACTGTCCACACGATGCATGGATGCATACAGTCGGTCCCACTATACTCTATGTCCCTGGGCAAGTAGAGCACCTCGGACTACCCTGTACCCAGCATCTGGCATGTTGCTCTTAATTACTGTGATAAAATAATCTAGTTCCTCATCACTGCATTTACTGTATGTGGCAGATACAAATATATAAATAAATATATTATTTTCAGACATCCGTCTAAATAGAGTTGCTCTGGATACACCAAGGAGTTTGGTAATGACACTTGTTGGCAGACCCATTTCCACAAGGTGTTTGAGAGCCTCTCGCGACACTGCCAATCGTTGACGGCCACGAGAACCTCTTTCAACGTGTACTGTTATTAATGTCTTTTGATTATCTCTTTCCTGCTGGATAATAGTATTCAGATCGGAAAGAGCAGAAAGTATATCCTCTCCCTCCCACATCAACAATGTCACCTAGAGCACCTAATAAAACTAAATAATGGTGACAAGCAAACTATAGCCCTTCCCCATCAACAGGTTGCCTTTTCAAGATGCTTGACAGTCGATCGTAAAACCTCTGAAGGATGTCACGCCTCAATGATTCCTAGAGAAAAAAAAAACAAAAACAGAACAAACATGAATTGGATAACTGTTGGGTAATAGAAATAAAATAACAACTTCCAAATATCTTATGGCACTTTTATTTTTTTAACACTCCAGCTATGATAGTTTTAATAAAAAATTGTTTTTAAATAAGACCAACTGTAGATTCAAATGTACATGAAATGATGAAGCAGTATTTCTGTTTATTATGTGCCAGAGCTCATTGGCTAAAATTTAAAGATGTATTTTTTAAAAAAATATATATATATTTCTTTAACTATCGCACACCACCAGAAAATCTAACATTTATGCACCGGCTCAGCCAGTGTCTGTCTCCTTATTACTGCACGCATAGCCTAAAGCAGGGGTGTCAAACTCAAATTCACAATGGGACAAAATTAAAAACTGGGACAAAATTGCGGGCCAAACTCAATATTTGTTGAAAAGTTTATTTACAGATGTCTTGTTATTCAATTGGAAAGAAACTTATTTTTGCATCTGAACACAGAATCTGATACGACCAAATTACACACGAGCAAGTACATTTTAAATAAAACACATCACTCGTTACTTATGTCTCAATTTTTATTTACTCTTTTTACTCCTTACAATGTTACAATTCCGTATTTAGATTGTTTTACCTTTTGGATATTTTAAGTTTGTCTGTTTTGTGTTTTATTTTAGTTTACTCTTTATTATTATGTTTTACTCTCCTGTTTGGCTTCTGTAATGAACGTTATTGCTGCTGTGACATCACAGTTTCCCCACTGAGGGACAATAAAGGGATTTTCTATTCTATTCTTCAATTTGTAGTCTGTCCAGTTCCCATTTTAGAGTAAGTTGAATCTTTCTTTTACAGGCCAACAACAAAAACCAAAAATAGCAATTATCTTCTATGAAAATATCTCAGTTATTAACTTTCATGCTTTGGAGCAGAAAAAGTTCATGACAATTAAATGTTTCAAGCTCAGTTCTCTCCACTCTGATGGTCACCTGTTCCAGCCAGATACCTTCTTTCTAGGCGTTCAAAGTCGGAAACTCGTTGAGTAAACTGGGCGCTTAGAGGAGTATCTTCAGTTGTTTAAGACTGAGGGTAACGCTGCACACGCTGATTCTACTAGCATGGATGCTAATGATCGTAAACATAAAAGAGGGCTTGCTTCGTCTCGCGCGCTAACGCCGCAAAGCACTGTGGGATTAGTAGTCTTATCAGCAAAATCGCCCGGCGGGCCAGTTTTAATATTATATATTTGATATTTGATTTCGCGGGGCAAATAAAAATAGACCAAGGGCTTGAGTTTGACAACCGTGGCCTAAAAAAATGGTACCTAGACACGCTAACTAAACAAATGTTCGCTTGAGTTTAGCTTGATGTTAAACTAGATGAAGAATGGACCAGACTTCACGTAACGTCAGGACTGAATTGAACATAAAACATTTTACTTGACAATGAAGAACGCTTCTACTCATAATTCTTTAACATTGCATCAATTACAACGAGGGAATAAGATAAAACTTTTACTCACAGATTGTATCCGGTCCATCCCGCTCTGCCGTGTGAACTGCAATACGCATGCGCACAGCAGATCTGTTCCGTCACATAAGGAGCCATGTGATTGGCTGAAAGCGAACAGCCCTGGCAGAATCATATATTTGATTGACAGATCCATTAGCCAATGGTGACGTTTGTTGATCTGCGACGTTAGGAGTGTCTCAAAATTCAGCACACCGATTTCTCTCACGAATGCAGGTGAATGCACCACACAGATTTCACTCACAAACGCAGGAAGGTTCACAAATGAGGAGCTGTTCGTAAATGCACGTTCAGCAATTCGTATTGTAACTGACGTTGAAATGTTTGTGTTGGTTGCCATGAAAACACCAGCAGCGCATCGGAGATCGATTGTTGTGAGGTAGTCGCTTCCTGTGAGTCGCGGGAGAGACGACACGGAGCGGTAACACGGCGGACTTTTGGAACATACATCTTTTCTACTGCTGGGTTTTACAAGGCGTACACGGTAAAAAACGTTATACTGTTCTTCGTTTAACACTTGTGCACTTTGCGAAAGGAAATAAGTGGCTGAGGTGAATATCATATGTGCTATTGATATTATTTTACTTGTTTCTAGTTTTCACGGTGCTCCATGATTGAGAGAGAGAAATAAAAGAATTGTGGACATCAGTACGAAGCGTGGATTCTTTCGACCCGAGTAGAAACAGTGAAAACGTTGGCCCAATCCATCTGGAGGCTTCGGTGTGCAGAGCTCTCGTCATCCTGCAGCAAGCTACAGTGAGCTACAGGCTTCAGTGGACACGTTGCTTTGCATTTTGGAACAACCAATCAGGAGCTGCGTATTCAGTGGACACTTGAAGAAGCGGTTTCAAGAAGCGTGAGTCATCAGGCTATATTACGCAGTTGTTATGCCTCCTGTGTTGATGGATAGAACATGAGCTACAAATTTGCTATAATGGACAAGAAATTAATTGTGTTCAAATTTCAGACTGTGTAACAAAAAAAAAGGACAATCTGTTCAAGTTCTGGAAATTATTGTTGTTTTCTTACTTATTGTTTGCAAGCTTTAAGAAGGCTGAAACTGAAGTTTATTTACTGTCATATGTAAGAAATTAAGCTAAGGTGCCTTGTGTTAATTTTAATAATTTTCCACCTATTGCATCCATTCCATTCTTGTAATTACCTTAGATATCTTGTCCCTTCATAAGATACCCCTTTTAAAGTCTGAAAATGTCTAAAGATGACCATAGTCATCCTAATGTTATGTCAGAAGTACAAGATGCAGGGGATATGAAAGAGGAAAGAAGTGTAGTGTCTGAGAAATCTGAGACAAAAACAAGAAAATCCTCTCGTGAAAGGCGACTAACACCAAAAATGCAGGAACTGAAAGATCAAGAGTTAACTCAAAAGGAGAAGAGGTTCAAAGCAACATATGAGAAGTGGAGAAGCAACGTAAGAGACATTCGCACAAGGTTAAAGCAAGTATGCTCTGAGAGTGACATGTATAATATGATGGATGAGGCTGAGAAGCAAGAGTCTGAATTAAAGGAACAGTATGACAGAATTCGACTCCAAACCTCACCAAGTCAAGAAATTCGAAGAAAGATTGATGCATGCTCAGCTGTGACAGCCGACTTGCTGCAGCTGATGAGAGTACGTCTCACTGAAGATGAAGATGAGTTCGACACAGTGGCAGAAAGATCAAGGTTACGCATGCTACTTGATAATGAATATGCTAGGTCCATATATGGATCCACAGCTTCCAGAGTTACTGCACCCAGCTGTCACAATTCTAAACATCTCTCAGAGTCACCCAGCATTTCGGCTATGAGGGCGGAAGCGGCTGCTCAGCTGGCTGCAAAGAGAGCCGAAGTTGATATGGAAGCTGCCATCGAAGCTCAACGTCAGCAGTTGAGAAAACTGGAAAACCAGAGGGACATTGATGTAATTCAGGCAAGGCTAAATGTCTACACTGAAGAGGAAAGGGATGGGACACGCAGTCCTCCATTCAGTAAAGTGAGTGATGCACACCCCTTCGCTCACCACATCCCAGACCAAGAACAGCAGGTTGTGCAAAACGAGACATCATTGGTCAAATCGCTACAAGAGTCATTAGCTCTCACCCGCTTGCCAACTCCAGAACCTTCTGTATTCTCGGGTGATCCTCTGAAGTTTACAGAATGGAGCATGAGCTTCAAAGCCCTCATAGAGAGACGATGCTCTGACCCTGCAGACAGGCTATTCTACCTGCAAAAGTACATAGCAGGTGAGGCAAAATCTTCTCTTGAAGGCAGCTTCTACAGAAAAGATGAAGAAGCCTATCAACAAGCATGGGATAGGTTAAATGCTAGATATGGCCATTCCTTTGTAGTACAGCGGGCTTTCAGAGAGAAGTTAAATGGGTGGCCGAAGATTGGAGGAAAGGAATATCTCAAGCTAAGAGAGTTCAGTGATTTCCTCCAAACATGTAGTAATGCAATGCCCCACATAAAGGGCTTACAGGCTCTTAACGACTGCGAGGAGAATCAGAAAATATTAGTCAAGCTTCCTGATTGGGTGACATGTAGATGGAACCGTTATGTTACAGAGCAGCTAGATCGAGGCAACGACTATCCAAGCTTTCATGAGTTTGCTTCCTTTGTCTCTAAGGAGTCATGCATAGCATGCAATCCAGTGTCATCCTTACATGCCTTAAGGCACTCTGCAGAGGCACCACCAAGAGAAATGAAGCGTTCAAAAGCAAACACGTTTGCCACAAATGTGAAACCTTCAATTCCATCAAACTCCACCACCAAATCTGACCCTGGTCAAATCAAGTTGGGAGATGCAGAGAAACCAAAGAAATGGAACACACCAACACAAAATTACAATAGTGACCAGTGTATTTGCTGTAGTGAGAACCATTCCATACATAAATGCAAGAGGCTTATGGACATGCCTGTAGAGGATAAGAAAAAATGCATACTTGAAAATAAGTTGTGTTTTGCATGTCTAAGAAAGGGTCACAATTCTAAAGACTGTAGAAACAGGTCCACATGTAGCATATGCAAAAAGAGTCACCCAACGCCATTGCATGAAGATCGTTCTACAGCAGGAGAATCATCAACTCAGGGTGCAGTGGAAGAAAGTACGTCATCTTTATCATGTTGTGTGAGTGGAGGTGAAGGTGGGAGTACGTCGATGATAGTCCCAGTGTGGATCTCAACACTTAGCGCTCCGGACACTGAAACCCTAGTGTATGCACTATTGGACACTCAAAGTAGTCACACATTTGTTGATCAGGAGGTGTGCGAAAAGCTAAAAGCAGCAATGGAACCAGTGAAACTTAAACTTTCCACCATGATGGGGAGAGACTCAGTCGTGAAGAGTCAAAGAGTATGCAAGCTCAAAGTTAGAGGATTTTCCTCTAACGTTTCCATCAATTTGCCTCCAGCCTACACAAGGGACTTCATTCCTCTTGACCGTGCACATATTCCCACTTGTCAGACAGCCAACAAATGGAAACACCTTGTAAGCATGGCCCAAGAGATACCCCCGTTGATGGACTGTGGTGTTGGATTGTTGATTGGATATGACTGCTCCAGAGCGTTAATTCCAAGAAGGGTCATCACTGGGGGCGACTATGAGCCTTATGCTATTGAGACGGACCTTGGTTGGAGCATTGTGGGAAGCGCACCACAGCGTGTGCAGGCTAAAGATGTGACTGGTTTTTGCCATCGAGTGTCTGTCAGAGAGATGCCACCCATAACGCCATTTGCTGTCATCAAGGCCCTAGAGTCCGATTTTGCAGACACAAAGTCTGGTGACAGAAGCATATCTCAAGAAGATATATGCTTCCTGCAGATCTTGAAAGAGAGGATCCAACAAAATAAGGAGGGTCACCTGGAGATGCCTCTCCCTTTCAAAGCACGTCCACATCTCCCAGACAACAAAAGGCTGGCATTAGTACGGTTGAAGCATCTAAAGAGGAAGCTGGACAGAGATCCCAAATTCAAAATAGACTACGTGAGATTTATGGAAGGTGTCTTCAAGGATGGAGATGCAGAGAAAGTGGAAAACCAAGCAGAGCTGGGGAAAGTGTGGTATATCCCACATCAAGGAGTTTACCACCCCAGAAAACCAGGCAAAATCAGAGTGGTTTTCGACTGCTCTGCAAGGTATGAAGGCACCTCCCTAAACGACCATCTGCTAACAGGACCTGACCTCACAAATAGCCTAACAGCTGTGCTGTGCCGCTTCCGTAAATATCCCATCGCAGTCATGTGCGATGTGGAGAAAATGTTCCACAGGTTTCATGTGAGCGAGGATGATAGAGACTACCTGCGGTTTCTCTGGTGGGAAAATGGAGACACAAACTCAGAACCCAGAGAGTACCGCATGAAGGTTCACCTGTTTGGAGCATCATCCTCCCCTGGCTGTGCCAATTATGGCATGAAACACCTTGCCAGCCAATGTGAGAAAGAGTACCCCTCCGCAGCTAGCTTCATCCAGAAACATTTCTATGTTGACGATGGTCTCATAAGTGTAAAGTCGGTGGGTAAGGCAATTGAACTGGTCAAAGATGTCCAAGCTGTGTGTGCCAAAGGAAAGCTGCACCTTCACAAATTTCTCTCCAACAGTCGAGAGGTCCTTGACTCAGTGGAGGTTGCAGCGCGTGCTACAGAGGTGAAGAATGTTGATCTTAATCACGATGATTTGCCAGTTCGAAGGGTACTAGGTATAAGGTGGAACATTGAAAATGATAGCTTCTCCTTCAAGGTGTCACTTGAGGAGAAACCGGCAACGCGCCGAGGGATCCTCTCAATTGTGGCCTCCTTGTAAGACCCTTTGGGGTTTCTAGCCCCAGTCATTCTTGAAGGGAAAAGAGTGCTGCAAGAGATGTGTCAGAGAGGCACAGGGTGGGATGAGCCACTACCCAAAGACTTGAAGTTAAGGTGGGAGACTTGGATGAAGGATTTGGAGAACCTGGAAAGAATTGAAATTCAAAGATGCTTCATACCTGACAGCCTTGGTGAGATTCAGAGAGCTGAGCTTCATCATTTCTCTGATGCAAGCAGTCAAGGGTATGGCCAGTGCTCTTACATCAGAGTAGTAAGCAGAGAAAGGGTATGCTGCTCCTTGGTCATGGGCAACGCGAGGGTTGCAGCAACCAAAATAGTCACCATACCGAGGCTAGAATTAACTGCAGCAGTAACCTCGGCATCTGTGAGCAGCATATTAAGGGAGGAGCTAGAGCTCAAGATTGATGACGAATATTTTTGGACAGACTCAAAGGTCGTGCTTGGTTACATCAATAATGAAGCAAGAAGGTTCCATGTGTTCGTGGCAAATCGTGTTCAGAAAATTCGAGAAAACACAGATGCACGGAAATGGTATTATGTGGACACAGGAGAAAACCCTGCTGATCATGCATCGAGAGGCCTCAAAGTACCTGACCTCATCAAGTCAAATTGGTTCTCTGGCCCAGGCTTTCTATGGGAAAGAGAGATAGCCACCAAACAGGCTACTTCAGATTTGCTGGTGGGAGACCCAGAGGTGAGGACTACTCAGGTGTTGAAGGTTGAGGCAGCGAGACAGTTTGACATCCAGAAGCATCTGCTGCGGTTCTCAAGATGGGCTACAGCTGTCAACGTCATTGCTCGTATCCAGCGGCTGGCAAAGAGGATCAGGACCGCTGAACCTTTAAACGTGGAAGAGAGAAAACAAGCTGCACAGACTCTTGTCAAGCTTGCACAACAAGATGCCTTTCAAGAGGAGTTAAACACACTCAGCCAGAAACTAGGAAGGCTGCCTTGCAACCACCCACTCTTTCAGCTTGACCCATTCCTCCAAGATGGCATAATGAGAGTAGGAGGAAGATTAAGGAAGGCATCTGTGCCTCTCGAGTTAAGACACCCTGTGATCCTTCCTAAAGATGGTGCTGTTACAAACCTCATCATCGCACACCATCATACCAAGATACAACACCAAGGCAGAGGACAAACCCTCAATGCACTCAGAGTCAATGGTTACTGGATCGCTGGTGGAAGTAAGGCTGTGGCCCAATACATCAGGCAGTGCGTACAGTGTAGGAAAGCCCGCGCGCCACCAGAGGAGCAACGAATGGCAGATCTACCTAGTGACCGTGTTGATCCCACACCACCATTCACTTATTGTGGCATGGACTGCTTTGGTCCTTTTCACACCAAACAGGGTTGCAAAGATCAAAAACGGTACGGCCTCCTCTTCACATGTTTTTGCTCAAGGGCAGTGCATATAGAGATGCTGGAGGATTTGACGACTGACGCATTCATCAATGCTTTGCGCTGCTTCATTGCCCTTCGTGGAGCTGTTAGACACATTAGGTCTGATCAGGGAACTAATTTTATGGGGGCAAGAAACGAGATGGCAAAGGCTCTGAAAGAACTTGATAAGGAAAGAGTGACTGCATACCTGGCAGAAAAACAGTGTGACTTCCAGATGAATACGCCCCACTCTAGTCATGCTGGAGGCGCATGGGAGCGCCAAATCCGGACAGTGCGAAGCGTACTGAGCACTGTCCTTGCCTGCAGTGTGGGAAGGCTGGATGATGCCTCATTAAGGACATTCCTTTATGAAGCTATGTGCATCGTGAATAACCGCCCACTCACTGTTGATAACATCAACGACCCCAAAAGCTTGGAGCCACTCACACCGAACCACTTGATCACCATGAAATCCTCAATCCCACTTCCACCTCCAGGTAAATTTGTCAAGGAGGACCTGTATGCTAAGAAACGGTGGAGAAGGGTCCAATATCTGACTGAGCAATTTTGGCACAGATGGAGAAAGGAATACCTGGCCAATATTGCTCTGAGACAGCGATGGCATACACCAAGACGTAATGTGGAGGTGGGTGACATTGTGATTCTCAAAGAAGATGTTCCTCGCAATGAATGGAAACTCGCTAGGGTTGTGGAAGCACATGAGGATGATGATGGACTTGTACGGAAGGTGACAATCCAGACTGGTGATAGGAAATTAGGAAAGAGAGGCGAACGCCTCGTCCAACCATCCATCATTCAAAGACCCATTCAGAAATTAGTGGTCCTGGTAAAAAATGAGAAAAATATGCCATTCATTGATTAGATTTCCCTTCTAAAATACAAGTTGTCATTATGCTGTACTTCATGCACATGTTGTGGAGATGTAAATTCTGTTCATATTGTTGAATTCATTGTTTGAGAAAAGTATATTGTTTATGTCAATGCAAGAGTGTTTTAACATAACAACATGGTGCTTGGGAATTACCATTGATTTAATGAACAATACAAGTGTATTTACATTCGCAATTGTAATAATCAAAGGTAATTGGTGGGAGTGTAACTGACGTTGAAATGTTTGTGTTGGTTGCCATGACAACACCAGCAGCGCATCTGAGATCGATTGTTGTGAGGTAGTCGCTTCCTGTGAGTCGCGGGAGAGACGACACGGAGCGGTAACACGGCGGACTTTTGGAACATACATCTTTTCTACTGCTGGGTTTTACAAGGCGTACACGGTAAAAAACGTTATACTGTTCTTCGTTTAACACTTGTGCACTTTGCGAAAGGAAATAAGTGGCTGAGATGAATATCATATGTGCTATTGATATTATTTTACTTGTTTCTAGTTTTCACGGTGCTCCATGATTGAGAGAGAGAAATAAAAGAATTGTGGACATCAGTACGAAGCGTGGATTCTTTCGACCCGAGTAGAAACACGTATGATCTGTGAGTTTATATTACAAGTGTTCTTACAAATTATATTTGTGAACCACAGAGTGTGAACTTCAGAATTAGCGTGTGCATTTGTGGAAAATGTTGCGTGACTTATTTTTTCACATTATATTTATGAGTCAACGAGTGTGCGCGCGCGCACACACACACACACACCTTTATGATGATCTCACAAACGCTGAAACCGCACGTGGCGCTGCACGTGACGCTGCCTGTTTACGCTTTATTACGTTGCTTTGTTACGTCATCCTGCCAGCCTATAAATAGGGTGCTAGAACCCCTTTGTTAGTCAGTCAGCTAAGCTTAGCTGGAAGGATGAGTGGATTCGGGGATCTCTTGTCAACTCGTACACTCAGAAATTTCTGTAAATTTACTGCAGAATTCCAACAGTAACATACCGTTTTTCCAAATTACGGTAGGATAATGTTAAATCTGATGTTTTTTCTGTTGAATAACGACAGCTGGAAAATTACGGCAAAAAACCGGTCTGGTCTAATACAGTATTTCCTTTGAAGCACATTTTTGAAGTTGTCAACTTGAACAGCCAGTTACGTCGAAGAAGAAGAAAAAGAAGACAATCACTCTTCATCCTCCAACTTGAAAGCTTCTGAAGGGTGAGTTTATCACTCTTAAGAATGTAAATCATGGTTTTGGTTAGTATTAAGTCAATATATGGATCACCAGAAACCCACTTGTCAAAGTTTAGCATACTTACAAAACATGACACGAAATGAAACATCACTTGCACCATAGTAATTTTAGGAGTTTTATGGTGGAAAGTTAAATATTTATTTTTAATGACTGGAATTTTAGATTTGTCATGTAGGACCACGTTTTCGTTTTTCATCTTTGTACATTCATGCTAGCGTTAGCATCTGAACTGGAGGCTCTTTAGTGAGATATTTCATTAATAACTATTAATGTGCATCAGTGCCACTGCTGGGCTCTCTATCAGGCGTACCGTGGTTGGCGGACATTCTTTTTGGGCCAATAGTACCGACCATCAACATATATACTGGACAATTCATTTCCATAGGCTCCAATAACACATTTTTGTGCCAAAATGGGAGGTGGCCACCACCCACAAAAGGCAAGAGAGATGGAGCTGAGGGTGGGGCTGTAAGGCTGGGATCAACTGACGACACCCGGTCGAACTAGCTACAAGCTAACCTGAAGCTAACCCAAAGCTAACGCAGAGGTGGGAGCTAAGCTAACGAAGGTAGCAACCATCGACATATATGGTAGCAACCTAGCTACAACCGGAGTTAACTGTGCACAACACCAGAGCTTCTGAGTCAGAGATACGCTGGGCTGACCGCTGGGTAAAACCGGGTGGAACACAGTGGTATTCCGAAAGCTGCTGAAAGCCGGCAGCCCCCGCAGCAGACAGAAGCCGCGATCAGACAGAGATGCGCCGAGCTGCGGGGAGGGGAGAACCACAAGCCGGCAGCCCGTGCAGTAGAGCCCTGCACTGAAGCCCTAGGCCCTCGGGTCGGCTTGGCCCGTGGGCCGGGCCTCGGGCCAACAGCTGTGTACCTCGGACACGGGTCGGGCGCCTTTATTTTTAATCGAATTCATAAAAAAAGTTGAAACACTTAAATGCAGCAGTAGAGCCCTTCGCGGGACTGTTTTCTTCATTCCTTTCCTGCCCGCTCCCGCTGGATTTCTGACCATTACCGCCCGCACCCGCAGCGTGCATGTCTACTCCTGCCCGCAACCGCAAAACTCGGAGAAATTATTACCTCACAATAAAAGAGATATATTGAGTTTGCATCCTCAACATGTCATTTCATTCTTCCATCCATCTGATGCGGCTCTCTGTGCTTGTAAAATAATGAATGGATATTTAAATAAAATGCTTTATATTTTACTGACTTAATTTTACATCTGTATGCCAATTCTAAATGTAAAGATTGTCTGCGTAAACCTGAACATGTCCATCCCGGTCTTACTGTGAGACCGGGTTGACGAGTCACGCTTGTGCGTAATCATGCGCTTCTGAGCTGAAGAGGATGTGAGATTCTGGGCTTCTCCTCAGACGGCTCCTGGATGTGTCGCCACATTGGAGACAGGAACAAGCACTAT